TTGAAAGTATCACAGCAAGAATCTGCTGATCCCACAACTGCCCCGAGGCTGTTTGAGGGGGTTTGAGGGGGGGGGGGGGGGGGGAGTGTGGAGGAGACGGTTCTAAGATGTGATTGGTGCCAGGTCCTATACCTAGATGCCAGATGCCACCCGAGGGAGACCGCTTCTCCTAAATCCACATCCCCCCCCCCCCCCCCAGACCCATCGACCCCTCCCCTGTGCCCCACACGTGCTGGCTCCTGGAACAGGCTGGTGCCCTGCCCCACAAACATGCCAGGGTCAGGCATTTCCCTTGTCTGGGGTGGGGCATGCCCAGCGCCCGGATCCATCCTGACCTGTCGACAGGACAGTTTAGCACCTGCCATGGGGGCTGGAGGACGCCCACACCACCTTTCCCACAGGACGTGCCTCCTCTCCAGTAACGCACACTCCCTAAGAAACTTCTTGATGTAACTAACGCTGGAGCTGTAAGCCTCTTCAGGCTCTGAGCCTGGGAAATGTTATGCAACAGGGCCTCCAGGGAAGGGCCTTTCCTCCACGCTGGGGGCCTATTGTCTTTGGTGAGAAGAAGGGAGACCACACATTTGTTATGTAGCCATGGTGGCCCCCCCCCCCCCCCCCCCTGCACTGGGCCAGGACAGGCAATAAAGGCTCATTAGGACCAATAAAGGCTCATTAGGACCTGGGGAACCACAGTGCCCTCCCTAGAGTCTGTGATGGAGCCTGCATCCTTGCAGAATTCTCAAACATCCCCCCTACACAACCAAAGTCACCAAGCAACTCCCATGCACCACTTGACATTGGGGGGAGGGAGACTTTCTGGACCTTTAGCTTGGATCCCATCTTCATGCCTCTAAATTGGAGGGTGGGACGGCCAGAGCGCACCCTCGCTCATTCACCCTGTTGGTGAATATTAATGAGGGTCTGCTGCGGCATGGAGCCAGGGATTCCACCCTAACCAGCCAGATGTGGTCTCTGGCCACCAGCTTTCACTAGCTGGAGCAGGAGGTGGGAAGGGAGTATATCAGCTCTTGGGATGACAGTAAAATGGGAAATGTGCAAAGTTCTCCTGAGAAGGACAGGGGGACTCACAGGGGGCTTGGTTAGGAACGTTTCCTGGAGGAGACTGCATTAGCCAGGTTGGGAGTGGGCGTGGGGGTGGGTGAGGGAAGAGCATTCTAGGAAGAAGGAACAGAAAGGGCAAAGGACCAAGGGCCTGGGGCTGCCAGGTCCTGAGACCTTGGCCACAGTCTCCAGAGTGCTGGCCTTGGTGGGTGGAAGCAGTAGAGCCGAAATTGAGACCTGGCTGTGGACCCCTCGCCCTTAGGCACCTTGCATAAACCCCTGTGCCTCAGTTTCTTCCTCTGCATAATGGGGATAATAATGATACTGTGTAGGGTTGATAGGCGATCCAGTCAAAGCACATAGCATATTATTGATACACAGAAAATTTTCAAGTTGAGTGGTGGCTAAAATCATGTGACAAAATGGATTTGTAGGTTGGTCTTGGTGGGAGCTGTGGACCAAAAATAAATAAATAAATGAATAAAAATTAAAAAAAGAGGGGTTCCATGGAAAGTAACTGTTAGATCACCAGAGCAAGGACGATGGGCCAGGTACAGAAACTCGCCAGGGCAGAAAGCTCCAGATGCCTAGCTGGGAAATAAGAACTTTGTCCCCAGGATCACCTATCCTCCAGTAGCATAAAACTGGTCATGCGGTTTGGATACCCGATCTTTCATATTGCTGGTCAGGCGGTTTAGACCACTCTGGCCTTTTCCTCCCTAAAGATAACATCTAGGCCTCAGTTGTATTTCAGCTCCAGGCCCAGAAAAGCAGCAAAACTAGACAAGTGTTGCTGTGGCTGCCTCAGGACCAGGCTACATTGACTAATGACCCCCTGCACTGGCATTGACCAGTCAGTGGAGACCATGACCCTGAAAAAGCTCACCTAGAAAGCTGATGAATATTCTATTGAGCCCTCTCCTGGAACCTCCCCTAAGATTGCACTATATCTTCTCTACAAATATTAATAATTTAAATCATGTGTATGGTTTTCATGTATTTGCCTGTATGTTATATGTGTTTTCTGCCTCCAGATGGCACCACTAGGGTATAATGTTTTATTGGCCTACAGAGATTAAATACTTATATAAATTGAATAGGATCCTATGATCTAGACAAAATATTTAATATTAAAACCAGTTTAAGTTTAATTAATAACTTTTAAAGTTATTAACACATAATATATACATTTGTCTTACCTAGATTTACAATATAACTAGAGGCCCAGTGCATGACATTCGTGCACTGGAGGAGGTGGTCCCTCAGCCCGGCCTTTACCCTCTCACAGTACAGGACCCCTCAGGGGATGTCCACCTGCTGGCTTAGGCCCACTCCCCTCAGTTGGCAGGTGGATATCCCCCAAGGGGTCCTTAGTGCTGCAGCGGAGGTGGGAGAGGCTCCTGCCACTGTTGCTGCGCTCGCCAGCCGTGAGCCGGGATTCTGGTTGAGCTGTGCTTCCCCTGTGGGAGTGCACTGACCATCAGGGCGGGAGCGGGGTGGTGGTGGTGGTGGTGGTGGTGGTGGTGGTGGTGGTGCTATCTTCAGCTCCTCAGGGTGCCCAAAGCCTCGGGTCCCTGCTCCCTTCCTCTGGTCTCATTCTAACTTTTGAGTTTGTGGCAGGAGGGGTGTTAGCATCCTGCACGAGCTCCACCTGCCAGCAATAGGGACCCACACTTAAGTATGGACGCTTGATCCTGCCCCCTTCCTCCATCCCAAGACCCCCCAGGCTGTTGCTGCCAAATTCTAGACTCTTGAATTGTCATAGCAGGGGAGAGGCACAGGTCGCAAAGTTCCCAGAACATCTTGGGGCAGGGGAGGTAGGGGAAGGAGGAGCAAAGGAACCAGACCTGGGTTCCAATCGTGACTCCCTCTTACAAACGGGAGACCTGGCTTATGTGACAACCTCTTAGCGCCTCTCTTGTAAAATGGAAATAATACTATTCCTGCCTCCTGAGGTTATATGGGTACAGTGAAAGAAGATAGGAACTATGTTTTATTTGAATACCTATATTTTTATTAAAATGAATAAAAATTTCAGGAGGGGGGGCAGTTCCTGCATTGAGCGTCTGCCCCCTGGTGTCAGTGCGCATCATAGAGACTGATTGTTTCACCATTTGGTCCATTTGCATATTAGGGTTTTATTATATAGGGTTTTATTATAAAAGTATAAAATATACTTTTGATTAAGTATATTTGACAACCTTCCCAAAGTTTAAATTTCTTTTTCTTTTTTTGTTAATTCCGTGAGGATATTTTTCTATTGATTTTTAGAGAGAGTGGAAGGGAAGGAGAGAGACAGAGAGAAAGAAGCATCAATGTAAGACACATCTATTGGTTGTCTCCCGCACGCCCCAACAGGGTCGGGGGATCGAGCTTGCAACTGAGGTATGTGCCCTTGACCGGAATCAAACCCATGGCCCTACAGTCCATGGGCCGACACTCTATCCCCTGAGCCAAACTG